ATTTGATATTTTGAGTAACCTTATGTCATCAATTTCTTTGATTAGGGATGTTAAATCCTAGAATAAAGGTCTAAACTCTTACCATGCACGTTTGATGGTTTACAAAAAATGCATAGGCTATAGGGAAATGATTCAAGTCATTGATTCGTTCATGGCCTTTCCTCTGTGAGTAATAAGATATCATCCCTATTATATCATTGCATAGAATAACTTGACTGGTGAGCTTATATGTAATAAATATAAAGTTTTGAAAATTCATATGAAAACCCATAATTTGTCGAAACACTAATATGCAAATTGGTTGTCGAAACTATGGTTCAATAGTGAAATCTAGCTTGTATATATGGTGTTCGGTTAGTTTTGGCGGGTGATTTTATACTTACATCTCACTTATCTTTCTCATATAACTTTGTACCAGCATTTGTATCATATGATAGCCTATCACTATTTTAAATTGATTTCGAATAATATTTAGTTTTCATAAAACATAAGTTTTCAGTCATATTTTTTTATAATTAATACCTATACCATTTATATTTTTAGCAAGTTAAAAATTCATCAAATCAATATGTGAGGCTAAACAATTAAATAAACTCAAAAATATATTAAAAAAAATCCTATTTTCTGCAAACTAAAAAGAAGTAAACCCTAAGAGTGGGGAGTCTTAACCCTAAAAAACTAAACAAAACTTGGTTCGATTAAGCTCAGCTATAGTGAAATCTAGCTCGTATATGTAGTGCTCGGTTAGTTTTGGGTGGTTTTATGCTCACATCGCACTTATCCTTTTCATATAATTTATTCTCACCTATAGTAAAATCTAGCTCGTATTTGTTTTTGCAAACTTTAAAAGGAACTAAACCTTAAGAGTGGGAAGCCTTAACCCTAAAGAAGCATTAACCTTAAAAAACTAAATAAAACTACTTTTTGATTCATCTCAGCTACAGTGAAATGTAGCTCGTATATATAGTATTCAGTTAGTTTTGGCAGTTGGTTTTATGCTCACGTCGTGCATCTCCTTCTCATACAAATATGTACCAGTATTCATAACTTATGATCGCCTATCACTATTTTAAATTGTTTTTGAATAATATTTAGTTTTCATAAAAAATAAGTTTTCATAATGTATAAATATAACATTTTTGTTTTTAGCAAATTAAAATGAACTAAATCCTAAGAAGGAGAGCCTTAATCCTAGGGAAGCCATAACCCACACACACTCAATAAAACTATGGTTTGACATAGTTCGATTATATAAAAATTGGTTTGTATATAACGTTGCAGAAAGATTTGTTTTTTAATTGGGATTGGTTTTACTACAACAATCATGGTATGAATACTACAACAAAATATATGATCAAATACTCGTTTTATACTGATGAATTATATTTTATTTTGAATTTATAGATACCATTTAATTTTTTAGCAAATTAAAAGGAGTTAAACTCTAAGAGTGGGAGCCTTAGCACTAAGGAATCTTTAACCCTCACACACTGAATAAAATTACGGTTCGATATAGTTCGATTATAGGAAAAAATTGGTTCGTATATAACGTTGCAGAAACAAAAAAACATTTAATTCGGATTGGTTTTACTACAACAATCATGGTATGAATACTACAACAATAAGATAAAATGTTATGATCGAATACTCCTTTTATATTGATGGACTATATTTTATTTTGAGTTTATAGATATACCATTTTAATTTTTAGCAAATTAAAAGGAGTTAAACCCTAAGAGG